GTCAATCTTTACATTTAGTTTGATTGTGTCTTGCTTGATGCCACCACGTCCCCCAACCCTATGAGTTTGCTTCGCAGATATTGTATCGGTTTGCAAGTAACAAAGTCGTAATGGCAATGTCTTTGTGAGTAACTTTATCGTAACTTTATCGTCGTATACCAGATGCCGCAGAGTTTCGCGAGAGCATATTTAGTTAAATACGAGCTGAAGTCTTGGCTCTAGGAGAGACAGAAATCTTCCGGCCCTCTTTCCCTGAACAAATACCTCTTGATTTGTCATGGATCTCAAGTGGTTTCTCGTATTTCGATTTGCTTTATATAAAGAGAGTACTGGTAGACAACGTCGAGAAGATTGTCGTTGGGCAGGGCTCATCTATTCATGGTATGAAAGCGCGTATAGCCGTTTCATATTGGAGCTAACCTTATACCCGATTTAATAACTCGTTTCCAAAAAAAGAAGCGAATTTTTATACCTTATCAATTTTATCAAAATGATTCAATCACATCTCACTATATTAATATATCTTCAGATTTAATAAACTCTTCAGAATAATTGATATCTCAATTAGAGAAATTGATATATCAACTTTATAAATAATTTGAAGAAATGGTTATAGAATTAAAGATAAATAGAATATTTAAGATTGAAAATTAATATATTTTCAAGCTATTCTCGATTGTTTTTGAATTTTTATCTCGAAATTTCCAATTCTATTAAAAAGAGTTTGAATTATCTGAAACTTATATTAATAATATAATCAATCATTCACTATCATTTAATTGATTTTTCAATTGAATTGAACAACAATTAATAAAAATATTATAAATTGAAATTGGGAAATCTAATAATGAAATATTTTTATTGAAACACTGAAATTTAAGGTTTTGGAAACACGTTATTAAACTGGGTGTATGGGCATATGTCGTGCGAGGAAACTTCGGATTACTTTCGCGCTTAATTCTGGTCCAATTGCTAGAGCCACCTGAGTTAAGATATCTCTGAAAATAATTGTCATGGTAGCAAGGTTCCGCTTTTTGTCAATATGCCAATGCATGAATATCCCAATAATTGGAGATGATACGAAATGAAAGCTCCGTAACCTTAATCATTTTACGGATTAATATTTCACCGGGATGATTCAAAGGCCCTCAAAATGAAGCCTTGGACACTGTGATAGCTCTTTTAGCCGCAATTCTACCTTTAATTAGAACTTCAACCGTTCTAGATATATTTGATCCAGCGAGCTCGCTCTTTGGATGGCTGTTGTGTCAAGATATCTCTTTGCCTTTTAAGATCATCCGAGACACTGCGCCGCCAACATACATTACACATGTCTCTGCCCTAGATCTTTGTATATTACTTGCAATTGCTTGCAATGAGCTTCTTTTACTAGAAAGAAAAGTTCCATCACACTACAATTCATTGATCCGGTCATTCCGAGTTTTGCTCCGGAAATTCTCTTTTGGTAAAGTTACCAAAGAATGAGGAAATTTCGTGCACTCGCTATTTTTGGCGCAATCGTTTTTATAGCTTTGATCGCTAGTCTTTCTCATTTAAATTCTGACGACTTATCGAGTTATATTCCGCAGAAAGCTCAGAACTATTTTCATTACGAGACACCACCAGATTCAGAAGAAATCTCAAGGTTGAATGGAATCTTGGAGGAGTTTTTATCACGCCCAGTTCTATCTTACGATGACGCTGTCTCATTAAATTCCCAAACCTGCCCGGTTAATGGAACTAATTATGACCGAGGTGCTGTTGACGGAAATGTGAAAACATGGGCAGATATACCTTCATCTCAGATTTATGCGTGGCGCAAAGGGATCACAACGAATTTAAGTCGCAAACAAATTGAGGCGATTGGAAAAACGAGCTCATCATCATCTTTTAGCGCCGATGTGCCAGGAATGGAGAAGAAGATCAAAAGAGGAATTGTAATGGCCGCGGGAGATCGTCACGCCCTGATTCGTGCGCGAACTTCTCTTAGGCTTCTAAAATCTTACAACTGCACGTTGCCAGTCGAAATATTTCATTTCGACTCCGAATTATCCGCACCGGCTCTTAGTAGTATTCTCTCCGATCTAAAAGAGTTGCAGAACTCTGATTCCGGTCCTAGCGGCATTAATGTTACAATGCGTGTAGTAGGAGACGTATCAAAAGGGTCGGGGTGGAAAGATTTTCAAATAAAGGGAGCCGCTATTCAGCAGTCTTCATTTGATGATATCTTGTATCTAGATACAGATTCTTATCCTCTACGGAATCCCGAATATCTGTTTGAAGGAAAAGAATGGAGAGATACGGGACTTTTATTATGGCCTGATTATTCAAAATCTCATCCCACCAATCCGATGTGGCGTTTGTTGGGTCAACCATGTCGGAATGAATACGAGGGAGAATCTGGACAGGTCATGATATCTCGAACTCGTCATCAGGATATCCTATGGCTGATTGAGTATTTTGCACTTCATCATGAAGAATTCTATGGATTTATGGGAGGTGATCGGGATTCGTTTCGGGCTGCTGCACTTCTTCTTGGAAAGTCATGGACCGGCCCAGGAAGAATGAATGCTGTTGGCGCTGCAAAAATTCCCGGAAGTTCTCAATCGGGAGGACATACGATGCTTCAAGCAGACCCCTATGGAAAGTGGATGTTCGTACATGCGAATCTGATTAAGCATTCTCATTTCGAGAGGCCGCTTTGGTCGCAGGTTCATAGAATCCGCGATGATTCTTTCAAGGAAGGTACCACATATGGTAATATTGATTCGCCAAATGATAGGATTGGGGAGGGTGTAAAACTGGATGTAGCTGTCAACCCTAGATTGGTAACGAGTATGTCTACTTTCGATGGATATGATGAAGATTTGGTGGTCGTTGAAGATTGGGATTCATACGATGAATTGAAAGGATTCGAAGAGAAGTGGTTTGGTTTTGGTGGTGTACATTAATTATATATAAGTGGTGCTTTGGATTTCTTGAATTCTGTGTATTCTCAGTCGGGGACGAACAGGTACGCTGGGACAGATTGTATATAAAACGCACATATTGGATCCGGAGCGACTGACAGTAATATAATTCCTTATCCAAACTCGGAAATCGATTGTCTTGAACGTCATTTTTGGATATCCTTTCACTGAGAGTCCTACAATTAAGATTGAATCTATTTTGAATCTTGAACTGTGTACAGATAATGGGAGCTTTTAATTGTCAGATTTTAATCCGGACGATTGGCGATTGGAAACACTGTTCAGGACCCATCTATGCAAAATGACTAATAAGGCTCTTCAGGCTTGCATCAGTCTTATACGTCTCCAAAGCACTCTTCTTCCAATACGAATAGGCTGCGTTTCCCCCTCTTCCCCCAAACGATTTCAATATCGCATTTGCTAGCGGCAAAACATTTTCTCATTCTAGGTCCAGAACCTGTCCTCATAAATACCTCCGCGTTCTTTCATCATCCACGCTGTGTAGATCAGAGAAGCCCCTTTTCTGTATTACAGCAACCATCACAAGATTATCGCCACTCCAAGGTGAATTACTCTACTCAAGGTACCTATTTACATCTACTATAACCAGTACTTCCCAGAAAGCTTCACGTTGAGACACAACAGTGCCCCTGGCAAGTTCCTCACCAAGTCCAGAACAGGACCATGGTCGAAAATCCAATCTATACATCACACTCTCTCATTCATTCTGCCGCTTATCGACCAAGTTTTTTCTGCTCGTCGATCTTAGAACGCAGGCTGCATCAAAATTTACTTGCCAATTCTCGCTTTTGCTAAAATCGATATCGTGAGACATGTTTTCTTCTTGTCTAGCTTTAGTTTTGCTCATGGAGTACAGATACATCTTACTTCTTTATAGCTTAGCTAAGCTAAATCTCTACCATCGATTACAATGACATCAGTATGTTTGACTGGTTGTAATACGTGCAAGATGAATTTGCCAAAAAAAAACAAGTCAGGATTGTTCATTTGAGATGCCAAATTCAGATCAGTTATAACTTATAAAAGCGGTTTACAATCTTCAAACCTAGCGAGACGATTCGGAAGCCTCGCTTCCACGATTGTCTTAATATCATTCAGAGAATCATTTTGATGATCTGTTGCATATCTGGATAAGTGATAAGGATGATTAGCTTCAAGATAGATATTTCGAAGGCATGAGATAATGCTTCCGAAGCTCGCTTACTTGGTTAGTATACTTTAGCGTTTAGGGGGGTTGTAATATCTGGATTTGTTGCGTGTCTGGATAAGAGATGAGGATGAATGAGTAACTGATATGGAGAAGGTCTATGATATAATATTGTGAGGTAGGCTTCGAGGTAGGATTTCGCAATTTTGGAAGTAGGAAGCCCAGCGGATTGTCATTGTCTGTTAGGCAGAATGGCATTAGAGATAGTGCAGAATGAGCAATTCGTTCAGTCATATTTTCAGAATAACCGATGATTTTTATTGGTCATACCTCGTTGTTTGATCAAGCCATCGCCATGCTATTGAGATTTATCATTGGAGAAGAAAAGTGTTGAGCACCTGAAACTTGGGCTCATCAAGTCTCGAATTGAAATCACTGTTCCTTGGCTTGTTCATTCGATTCACTCCCCCATTCAATCGAAAAGGATTACAAATCATGCCTGGATGAACCAGCTCCATTAATCATCTATTCATTTATGGATATACAAAGTACCAAAAAACATAGACATCGTATATCTCAACACCCAAACCAACACCCACAAACCCGGGTATCGATCCTCAAACCTACATTCACTAAAAGAATAACCCTCGAAATCTGCAGGAAACAAATCATGATGAGACCTGATGAAGACTATTTCGTCCTATCCATTCCTCTCATATAGTAGTACAAATACAACAATCATATCTCACCCTACTCGACACCATCTCAAGGATAGAAAGCATGGAAACCATAACAGCAATCCATGCATTCCATGCATTTCACTAGAACCCAGAAAGAGATTCTCAAAACTCACACTCCTCAAATTAAAACAAGAACAAGTTTGTTAAACACACCACTCCCAATACCACAAATGAAATCCTCACTTTATCTGAATCCGCCGAAATGGTAGTTTGTTGCGCTCCCGTTGTCCCGTTGATTCCCGTAGCGTCACTTGCTATTCCCGTGCTGGAAGGTGGATTGATATAAAGTGTCGATTTGGAAGTACTTCCCGAAGTAGGGGTCGCAGTACTGAATGATAAGACGGAGGTATCATAGGCACCCGCAGTGGTTATGGCTGAAGATTCTAAAGCTGCAGTTCCTGTTTTTATTTTGTCGAGTTGTTGTAAGGGCCGACTAAAGTCCCGGTTCCATAGTAGCCTGTGCCTGCTGAATAACCGGATCTCGTAACCGGTGGCGTATGCGCTGCCAGTAGAGGCATCGCATGTCACAACGGTGAGCCATCCGGTCGTAGTGGTCCATACTGTAGACCCACTGGTCTTGGTTTGGACGGTGGAGGTGGAGTAAGTTGTGAGAGTGACTGATTGATCAGAGGTAATGTGGATGGTAGTGTGGGAGGTTATGTCGGAGGCATATGTTGGAACAATGGGGGCCGACGTTACAGCGGTTCCCCATGTGTATTTAGAGGAGGTCTTGGCTCCCGTTCCCCATGCTGCGGCACTGGTCCAGCTGGAAGCTAAGGATGTATATGCATGAGTAGATGAAGCTACACCAGAGGCAGCTGAATAAGGTTTAGTGGGTAAGTTTGAAAGACAGGATGTGGGCAAAATTACCTGTTTCTGATGCTGGAGGCCACCACATAGAATTTGATGAAGTTGAACTAGCTACTTCAGATCCAACAGAAGCACCGCAATCTCCAGTCACAGTCTTGGTAACGGTCACAGCAGAGCCCTCTGCTGCTGGAGCTGTATATGCTGCAGGAGCTGAAGATGCTACCCAACTTGATGCTTTAGATGTGACTTCCGATGCCACGCTTGGAGTAGATGTCACACCAGCCGCATAACCGGAAGCGGTAGTTTTTCCTGGACAATTCGTCACAGTATCTGCGCAAGAAATTATGGTTGATGTATCCGTGATTGATACTACATCAGTCACCACTTGTGCTAAAGAAGGTGTCAATGACCAAGGATAATCGTCCCAAGTCCAAGTATATGTGTAGCTCGAGCCATTCTTGTGACTTCTTGAAGCTAAATATAATATAACTGAAGAAGTATATTTTGCGATTTGTTACTTAAATTTCGACGTATAAGAAGGAAGACAAAAGGAAAAGAGAAAAAGGAGCGTGGGAAGATACCAAGGTTTGTTAAAGCAATAGCTTGAGTATACTTGACAAACAGGTTATCTAAAGAAGCCTTCAAGGCTTTGATGATACGATGAAGACAAACAAACGAAATATTTGTGGTAGGATATAATAACAATGCTAAATAAAGACAGAAATGGAGGCTTGTAAATGAGTGGCACGAGTAAGTCAGAACAAACTTATGCAAACAAAAGCAAGGCAGACGCAACGAATGTTGGCTTGTACTATGTAGACACACTTATGTTAGTTGGAGGTCTAGAATATGGAACAGTGATCCTACAAGTTAAAACCTTGATGAGGACACGAATTTGGTGGAGATTTGAGGTCTAATAACCCTTAAATCATACGCCTCAGCCATAAGGTCTATCTGCCTTTCCGACGTTGGTCATCTACTTCTTCTTTGTATGATGTCTTTAATGTCGGGGTCCGATGAGAAGGAATCACAGCCCTATTTAGGCGCCCGAATTGAGAAACGAACCAATCATTTGTTTTTTTCGTTAACGGGACGATGTATGACGAAAGATTACAACCTTCGCATTCGATACTAATATATAAAGACGAATTATTATCGTAGCCAGCATCATAGTTTTTGAGAAGAATTCTCCACTCTACAGAGCAGATTCTCCATACCAGCTGCCTGCATGAGAGCAATTGGACGATCCACACCCTACCCCATCGGTCGGTTCAATATCTCGGAGGCTGCAGACAAACATATCATGCTCCAATCAAAAGAATAAGTACTTATATGAATATGATGAAAACATTGGTCTCGAATATCTCATATCTATAGAAATGTGGGTTTTCATGATCACGACAAGGTGCGGCTGTGAGGTCCTTTGAAGTAGGCATTGCAGCCGCGCGCTTGCAAACTAACCCAACCGGATACACCTCGCAGTGACCGATTATAATATTCCTACAGCGGGAACTTCTTTTGACTGGATTCGAATAATCATTATAAAACCGGGAGTGCGAATAAATTATCGTAAGGGGTTTCAAGACATCTTTTGATTCATCATTCCTGTGAATTCAATGTAAAAAATGAGTTGGTTCGAAAGTAACCACAGAGGAGAAAACATACTGAAGAACACAAAGATACAGGTAATCTGAATCAATTAGGGTCGCAAGTTGGGCCGGTGTTGGATTCGGCAAAATCCTTCGGTACATGACCAATGACAACTCGCGAAATATAAGTTGCTACAGCTGCACACACCTCGAACAGAAAATATGAGGAGTCGTCTAATTAACAGCAAGTCATCTACCTAGCTTGGCCAGTAGTCGAGTGATATATGAAAAAAATGCGAAAAAACCAACCCGGCGTGGCGTGATAAGATACATCAATGATGAACAGAGAAACTCTTCATGAATTTTATTGATAGAATGAGGAGACGAGTAGATTTGATAACTCGGCGTCAATTGATTTTCTACCAGAATCCGGACTTCAATTTTCTTGTCTCTTTATAATGCCACTTGCAAGGGGATTACCTCAACGAATCACTAATGTTGCATCAAGCAAAGTTAAGGTGAACACATCAATGAGGAAGATGTGAATCGATAAGTGGAGCAAACTTATCTCAGTCCTATGGCCATTATGTCAAAGTGAATTCTTCGCATCGCATAATTGAATCAGTTGTTGATCATTCTTGACACTGGTCTATTTAATGGTCTGATTCCAAAGATTCAGAGTGGGTCGATGTTGTGCAGCACCATGTATCAACAATATATATTCGTAAACATGATCTTTCCGCGTGTTGCCAAAATGAACTTCCTCAGAGAAACAGAAGAAGCGAAAGCTTTGTATTTCCTAAAATTCCAGTAAGTTTATGGTTGTTGAAAACAACCCACTAAGAGCTACCATGGCCCTAGAGACAGCTAGCGGAAACGTGACTTTAGAGCTGGTCGCAGAACGGTACCCATATTCTATATAGACAGCAAGACGTTCGAGATATACAATAGAAGAGGATAGGAAGGAAGAAGCAAAATTTCTCTAGGCCACAAGGATTATGAGGAATATGGGGAAGAAGTTGAGAAGATAGGATAAGCAAATGTAACGGTAGAAATTTGCATCCAAATCACATACATGCATGCACATGCATACTAAGCACATGCACTTCTACTACATCAAGTCCCTCAATCTGCATCCAGGTCGACCCGACGATTCGTAATCTTCCCACCTCAGCATAAACCTAGCTTCACATGCTGACTTCAGCATGCGGTAAGATACACTCACATGTATATCGGGTCCTTCACTCATTGCTGCTGAGCTAGACCCAGGACAATACTGCATCGACGTTTGCAACAAAACTCAATGAGTCCCTGGCATGAGATAAAGCTATATCCGGCGTATTATTCCTTGCGACTTTGAGGATTTCGCAAAGGAACTTCCCGTGTATCATGCAAGACCCTTTGCATCCTCAATCTCATCTCATTCTAAGTTTCCACCGCCACGCCGATGAGTTTGCGAACCTTGCTCTGGGCCGTGTATTCCACGTTTTCGTACATGGATCGAACAAAAGTCAAAACCCAACATCAAGAAAGACCCCTATTGAAAGTGAGGTGGGTCAAAGACCCCGAGATGCAATGCATCCCCTGCTGCATACTGCATGCACTATTGACATCTTCCACGTCGACAAGCATCTCAATAAACCGTTTCAATAATCCGCCTTTGAGATATATATAATCCCCAGCCGTTGGAATTAAAAGCTATTACCGACGCCACGAGGTCCCTTCATGCATTGCACCACGCAGGTCCCGGATCCACATCTATATTCATATCCACCTTGATCGCCCCTCTTATCCCCCTCCCCTCTCTCCACGCGATGGAAGATTGAGATAACTAATACACTAAGATCATTTCCTAAATATGTCTAAGCCTGAAAGGGTATATGACTCCAAATCCGAGTTTGACCGTCGGAGAGTACTATGAGGTACCTGGATTGTGATTTTTCCCAAAATCCAAATCTAAAGGTCCATTTCAATATTGGATACAAATTCTAAAATTAGAACTCGTTCAGGCTAAAAGTCTGTTTGATCCTGAATATAGATTCGAGCATTGAAGAATACTACGAGGCCTAGACAGTGAGTATTTTCGATCCCAATGTGCGGCATGCTTCGTCTGTCCGTCGCGCGCCATCTTCCTCTTTCACGCTGAGGAGTATCTTCCTAGAATTGGACCCTAATCTCGGACTCTCAATCTAGCTTTAAGGTTCTTCCAGGTCCTCACAGACTTCGAGTCTACCCTTAACCCACGTTGCCTGCTCCACCCTACCCGGATTATGTCTCAACTATTTTCTCACCCTTCCGCTTTCAAATTTGATCCACAACCCCCGATTCATAATTCGCAATCACCATCCCCTTACTCTACACTAACCTAGCTCAGCCTACCCTTTATCTATTTCCATATCCTTTTCCGTTCCGGTTTGGTCTACGTCTCGGCCCGGTGCGGCGCGTTGTAATTCCAGGCACCTATCAGCTCTCACGTAGCATTGTACTCGGGCCATACCCGCTCACCCTACCCGCATTTTCATATCCGCATGTATCCCCTACCATCCCTATATACCTAGATACCAGGCACCCCTTTCCAAGCCGTAACATAAGCTGACATGACATCGACGGCTTCAATTTATGCAGGGTCTGAGCATGAGCCGTGCAATATATTTTGTCACATTTCGGGGAAGCTTGCCGAATAAGGCAGGTTTTCTGCACTCGCAAGTTGGAAATTTTTCAAAAACACAAAACCTGAAGGTGAAGGATATCTGATTGTCAGATTTGCATTTGAATCTTGCAAGCTTCTGACTGTTGGCACGAATGTGTATGTTGTAATCCATTCAAACGGTGAATAGCAATAGAACAAAAAAAAACATAGCGAAATATAGTGAAATACTTGAGAACTCGATTTTGGGATTCTGCTTCTCCCATTTGCGAGTCACCAATGGCAACATCACTTTTGCAAACATGCAATTGACACAATGAATCATGTAATCATACAACACGCGGAAAAATTGACGGTCTATTTTACAGCTTTGATTTTGATCTATCAAATCTTCCGCCGATCATTCATCACTCATCCTGCCTTCCATACCACCATAACTAAGTTTTTTCCTTGCCTCATCACAACGTTCAAAATACAGCTCGCCCAGGCCCACATGCTAAGGGACAAAAGAATAACGAGGAAATGACCATGATTTTATTTTAGCTATTGATTTAGACGAAGCTCTTGGTGAAAGAGGTGACAACGTCCTTCAACTTAGCCTCAAGGTCCTTGCTGAGAGCACCCTCCTTATCAATTGTTGCCAACAAGTCTGACTCGTTGGTCTTAAGATGTGAGATGAAGTCAGCCTCCCATTGGAGAATCTTGTTGACTGGGACGGAGTCAAGATGACCATTGACACCAGCGTAGATAAGAGGAACCATTTCGTTAACGGCCATAGGAGAGTATTGCTTTTGCTTGAGGAGCTCAGTCAACTATAAAAAATTATTGTTAGCTTATGTACTTTGTATGATTTGTTCATGTATGAAAAACGAAGGATTAATGTACGACCATGAGCCGAACAATGATAAGTAAATCAATATACGAAAGCAAGTCAAACAATGATAAGTAAATCAATGTTCAAAAATAAATTGAACAATGATAGGCGAACCAATGTTTGAAATGAGTCAAACAATGATAAGCAAACCAAAGTACGACAATGAGTCGAACAATCGTGAGCAGATCAATGTACGACAACAAGTTGAACAATTGTGAGCAGACCAATGTATGATAATAAGTCAAACAATGGCAAGTATGGGGATGTGGTTGGGAATGCGAATCCGAATGGAAAACTTACTCTTTCACCACGGTTAAGAGTTTGCTTGGTAGCAGCATCCAAATCGGAACCGAATTGTGCGAATGCAGCAACTTCACGGTATTGAGCCAAGAAAAGCTTCAAGGAACCAGCGACTTGCTTCATTGCCTTAAGTTGGGCAGCAGATCCGACACGGGACACAGAAAGACCGACATTGATGGCTGGACGAATACCCTTGTAGAAAAGTTCGGCCTCCAAGAAAATTTGTCCATCAGTGATAGAAATAACGTTAGTTGGGATATAAGCTGATACATCACCACCTTGAGTTTCAATGATGGGTAGAGCAGTCAAGGATCCACCACCAAGTTTGTCGTTCATCTTAGCGGCACGCTCGAGTAGACGGGAACTATTGAAAATGTTAGAATTTTTTGATTTTTTTTCTATCAACGACGGGATAGGAAGCCTTACTGTAAATAGAAAACGTCGCCTGGGTAGGCTTCACGTCCTGGAGGTCTTCGAAGAAGAAGAGACATCTGACGATATGCAACAGCTTGCTTGGAAAGATCGTCGAAAATGATGAGAGCATGCTTGCCATTATCTCTGAAGTATTCACCAATCGATGTACCGGTGAAAGGAGCGATGTATTGAAGAGGAGCGGCCTCAGAAGCAGTAGCTGCAACAACAATGGAGTACTTCATGGCGTCGTTCTCCTCGAGGGTCTTGACCAATTGGGCAACGGTGGATCTCTTTTGTCCGACGGCGACATAGACACAGTAGAGCTTCTTGGTCTCATCGTTTCCATCGTTCCAACGCTTTTGGTTAAGCATGGCATCGAGAGCAACAGCAGTCTTTCCAGTTTGACGATCACCAATGATCAACTCACGTTGACCACGTCCAATGGGTACCATTGCGTCGACGGACTTAAGACCGGTTTGGACTGGCTGGTTGACGGATTGACGTGGGAGAATACCAGGAGCCTTGAGTTGCGCACGGCGCTTCTCGGTAGTCTTGATAGGTCCCTTGCCATCGATTGGGTTTCCGAGAGCATCAATGACACGGCCGAGCATCTCCATTCCGACGGGAACATCGACCTGTACCTCATGTTAGTATTTCGAAACATACTTTGAAGTTGAAGAACTAACAATCTCTCCGGTACGCTTGACGGTCTCGCCCTCCTTGACCAAACGATCAGAACCGAAAAGCACAACACCGACTTGGCCAGCTTCCAAGTTCATGCACATGCCCTTGACACCGGATGCGAACCTTTTTCTCCATCAGTACCCCAGATAATGATTGTCGAATTTCATAAACTTACTCGACAAGTTCCTCGGCTTGGACATTGCTCATACCATGCACACGAGCGATACCATCACTGTCATAACACAAATCAGCACTGCGCCCAAATAATCCATAATCCCGAATATCCACATCGACGTTATATGACAGCAGCGTTTTGGACCCGAGTATAAGAATGTTGTTGGGGGAACCTACCCAACGGACAAAACACGTCCAGTCTCGGCGAGACCGGACTCCTCTTGAACACCTCTAATTCTTTGCTCAAGAATAGAAGAGACTTCGGTGGGGGATGCCTTAGCATCAGATGCGTAGCTTCGAACTGATCTTGATGCTGCGTTGAAAGTTGCTGGAACAGCAGTTCGCTGTGGTGCAAAAAACGTTTACGTTAGCCGAAGTCCGAAAAATCCTCGTCAACAAAGCTGGCAAAGCTTGCTAGAAGCTCAAAAGCCTCAACACCATGGCAATCGCTATGTCAATTGACACTATGGACAATATCTAAGTAGATAGATATTGATAGCGGCGAAGTATAATAGTGACATAGTGACGTGAGAAATTTTGTTTTGTTGACGTACCGTGCAATTCTACCGGAAGCAGAAATTGCGCCCACCGTCCTGCTGGACTGCTTAAGAGCGTTTCTGAACATCTTGACCAGCGTCTATATGTCAAAGGGTATTAAGGAGAATCAATTGCTGCAGACGTGCAACTGATGGAGAGGAGATTTAAAATGGTGGAGGTAGAGTGGGTGGTATCAAGACCTTGCTGGAGGAAATTGGGTGACTAGACAGAGTACTCTCAAACAATCAGGAAAACTGAACTAGCGCGAAAAATCACGTGGTATTTGTCTATTCAGCCCACCATCCGTGTTATTTCGGTGTCGGGAGAAACCGTGGGAGCGTGGGGTGAATAATAATGGAGTAATGGAGCTTTGGTAAGAAGAAATGCTGACCTTGATATCAACCACCCAATCAACCTACCAACGTCTTCACATATACTGACTGGATGGGATAGGGTCTAGGGCAGTGGGTTCGAACTCTCATCTGCTCAAAAGAGTGGTGACCTACCCCAAGTACTCAAGTACCCAAGTACCAGCGTACTCAAGTAGCAAAAAGTATCCCTCAACCCAAGTATAAGAGTACCCACAACACAAGTAGTATACTCCTCGTATGTCCCGGGACTTCATCTCTTTTCAGACTCTTCCTTCATACCTACTTACCCACATATACATATACCTTCATCATGCTACTACAGATATCAAGAACCTCTCCTTTCTTGGTACGACTGTATATCAAAATCCCCCCTTGATCATTTCGTACGTACATCATACTTTGAAACATTCTCAGACGGACCCGAATACTAACATTTATCAAACTCTTTCTTCAATTAATTCTTGAAAATATCACACTTTTTCATGAATTCATGAAACTTTTAGATCCCCTGGCCTCGGAGGGATCATCTGGGGTCATCTGATGAACGTCTGATAGGTAGCAAGATAGCAAGGGTAGAAAACTACTTTCTGCTTTCTGCACTATTGCTGCTGTCATCGCACATGTAACTGCTTCGTACAGCTTCCACAAAACGAGGACCAAGCGGGCCGTGGCTGTTGCCAAGGTGCAGAATCGGATGAAGATTGCACCCATGGAGACATTCAAATCTACCTACCTTACTCTTTTCTGCTTTCCAACAACATGGTCCATCAAGCCTCAAACTGGAGCTTATTCACGAACGAAGTTGTCAATACTTCGGAACTACCTAATTGGGGGCGATTTGCATGTTCTATTCTACCATTTGAAGCCAAGTACAATGTTGATATTATTTTTCATTGGTTCTACTCCACAAAGCACCTGTATCTCGTCAATTATCCAAGAAAAATGATGAGATAAGATGAATCCTTTCCATGCATATACCGTATTTTAATATTCTTAATTTATACTTCCTATTAAGATTTTTTCTGTATTACTCGGGGCTTGTTTTAAGTACAAGCATTATGCGAAGTATCATGCGAATACCATGACCCATCCAAAATTATCGTAAGTGTGCTGTTGAAAAGTGGCGGATCTTTCAATATCGCCGATAAACGTTTAGAAGTCCTTCAACGTCGAAAATTTAAGTGCTAACGCCTTTGAAATTCTATCATTTTAGTGACATGAGAGACTACCCAATGCAGTAGCACATGCAGCTATCTTGTCGAAACAGGTGTAGTACCTCGTCGCCATGCCGCCTCATCCACATAAAGTAATCGATAAAAATTGGAGGCTTGAAGCTGATCCTTCCTCCGCTGTTCCCAATTGAGGATGGAAGCTTGTTCCTTCTGTTGGTTACCACCATGTAATTGAACGCAATTATATTTCCGAAGGCTAGAATTGCAATAACCATGTTCATCTTATTACGAGGTGGGAGAAAGCAACAGTGTGGTGGCTTTGGTAGGCGGTAATATTGTTTAGTGCAAATGTTGGTATTAAAGTTGAGCAACATCCTCTTGGAAATCTTGTCCTGATGGAAGTTGTCAATGATCGCCCTTGTTTGCGTGTTTTTATGCAGTTGCAGGTGTCGGGACGCTCCTCATTTGCTACCAGGGCATGATTCGCGCTTGCAAAGGTTGTACAGCATTGCATTCAACACACACCTTTTTTTCTAGAATCGCCAATATCGATTTGTCCAATTCGGTCGTCCTAATTATCCAATAGACAACATAACTCACTGCAGCCGGGCTTTACCTCCGCACGCATCACAACTTCCCCGGCCGGAGGCCCAAACTGCTGGGAAGATATCTTTGCACATATTGGAAAGTCGAGGCACGAATTTCATATCGACTGACCTCGAAGAGTCTGTTAGACTGTACGACCAACGACATCTCTTGCATCAGTCACATCTACGCACTTACGAATAAACGCATGCACAGTTCGATAGGCAACACTGTAGTGGGTCCTGAACTCCAGAAATTTTCCTATTCTCCTGGGTATTTCACCAATCAAGGGCGTCTCACGTCACATACTCATAAACTGTCCAACGTGCTCCCCTTTAGAGCCAATCTTCCTGTTCAATTGGGTCAGCTGGTCGTTCGAGGCTCCGAGCATAAATACCCCCCTTGGGTAGTTATATTTTCGAGTACAGCATAGCAGCACAGCTTTTGGGGAGAGAGACCTGCATTTAATATAATTGCTTGCTTCCAACATTTCGCCTCGTCACCTGACATTGCAATCAGTCCATAATTTTGATTCGCCTTTGTGTGCGTGGATTATCTTTTACATCGAGATAACAGTATTGTCTCGAATTAGAAAAATACGAGCTTGTAAGTATTCATCAACTTTCATACGCAGTACAACCTTGGTGGATGTTTGCCTCCGTGTGAAGCACCCCCAACAGATTCCTTCAGTTGCCTTGACTGTTCTCTATAAAAACCACCACTTTCAAGTCTATCCTCGCAATTACTGATCAAGTACAGAACCCAATTAACTTTCACAAGCACTTTTCTGACTTGGAAGTCACATCTCAAAATGCTTGGAGGAATATCACGGACAAAATTTGCCCCAGCGGCAAAAAGCTGCCCCTTTATTTTCACAAGATCAGCAGGGGTGAAGAGTGATGCAGTACCTCGGAAATGCTTTCACGTCGCTGCACGAAACTTATCTTTGAAGCCTAAAGTACCTCTTATCTCAACAAGGCAATTTCGATCAAATGCGTCAGGTCGAGCAGCAGTAACCGACCTTCCTATGTTCCATGATGGACCTGTCCCAGCACCATACGAGCCTCCAAATACAGCAAAAGTACCTGGATTACCAGTCTATGATGCTTCCCTTACTGACAGGGCTGCGTACTGGCAAAAGATTCCTCGCTGGGCAAATGTCACAGAAGCCCAATTCTTAAAATACAAGTTTCATGTAAGTACCTCAGCCCTATGGCTATGTAGGGGTTGCCAATACTGATATATATCTGCAGACAATCCATACCATATCCACTATAATGCAGTTAGAAGTTTTCATGTTGGAAGTTTTGCCCCCAGTCCTTCGAAGACACCCCGATTTTCCCGGCATTGTCACTCGTGAGGACTTCATCGAGGACGTCAAGGAAGGGATCAAGTTGGCACCTATGTCGATTCGCTTGCCACCTCATGTTCTCAGTATCATCGACTGGGAAAATCCGTTTGAAGATCCCATTCGTCGCCAGTTTATACCTATGAAGTCAAGTAAGCTTGAAGATCATCCTAAAGTTGAGTTGGACTCATTGCATGAGTCTGATGACTCTCCGGTGGAAGGCTTCGTTCATAGGTACTATGATAAAGCTTTATTCTTAGGTAAGTCTTCTTTAGTTTTATGGTATTTATTATGACACTAACTTTTTCCTAGCAACATCAACCTGTCCTCTATACTGTCGTTTTTGTACTCGTTCATGGTCTATCGGGCCTGATATGCAAAACGTTAAGAAAACTACATTTAAGCCTCAACGAAAACGTTGGGAAGACATTTTCACTTACATTGAAGACACCCCTCAACTCCAAGATATCGTTGTTTCTGGCGGAGACTGCTATATCTTAACCGCTGATAATCTTCGTCTAATCGGCGAACGACTTATTTCTATTCCTCATATCAAACGATTTAGATTTGCCACGAAAGGTCTTGCTGTTTCTCCTGCGCGGATCCTTGACGATAGCGATGGATGGGCAGCTGAGATGATTAGACTCTCAGCATTGGCTAAGAAGGCCGGAAAGAGTATGGCTATCCACACACATTTCAATCATCCCAAGGAGATGACCTGGGTTTCAAAAATGGCACTCCAAAAATTACACGAGAACAATGTTACCGTGAGAAACCAAACTGTCCTACTCAAGGGTGTCAACGATGATGTGGCCACCATGAGTAGCCTCATTAAAACTGTGGCCGACAACAACGTCATTCCCGTATGTATATCTTACCTAGCTCATCTTTCCAAGCCGGGGTACATGCTAACATTACCTAGTACTATGTCTATCAAGCTGACATGGTACAATACGTGGAAGATCTCCGGACACCACTCTCCACAATTCTTCAACTCGAACGTCATATCCGCGGTTCTATTGGTGGTTTCGTAACACCCAACTTCGTCGTTGATCTTCCTGGTGGTGGCGGTAAACGTCTTGCCGCATCATACGATACCTACGATCCCATTACCGGGCGCTCAACCTTCACTGCACCCGCAGTCACCGGTAAAAACAAGGAAAACAGAGTCTACGAATACTGGGATCCATTACATTCTCTCCCAAAATCAACCACGTCCTCCTAGAGAATAATTCAATTTCATCAAGTAAGGTAATGGATGGTAGATAGATAGTTATTTGCTTTGGTGGCACCTACGGAGTTATCATTTCGCTCGTTGGTACTTGGTACATATACCAAGTTTTCGAACTCTTCGCGAACGCATGCTTTACAGTCCAAAATTTTCTGTATCTGGTTATTATCCTGATTTGTTTTTACATGAGCGCGCGAATATAGATACTGGCTCTATTTTTGTTGTTGTTCTCTGTTATGTTTGTTATGCGGTGGCACGTTTGGCACTTTTGGGACATATGGCAACTTCACAGTACATGCTTCTTTTTTGAATGCGGATTTGATTCGTTTTTGCTTGTGCACGAATTCTGAGTAATGAATTAGGCTTGGTTTCTGGGGTGTTGGATGGTTGTGAATGATATAAGAGTGGTTGGAAGGGAGGAAGGGAAATACAGCGATACCAGCTCGAATAGGGCAAAGAATTGATACTGAGTCACTTTGTGATTTTTCCTGACTCTATCTTTAATGGTTCATATGGGTAGAGACTTTTGCTTGAGAGGAATTGATGAGAGGGGACGTGAATATCCGGTCATTAGTTGCCTTACCTACTCGTTTGAATGAGAATCAAAAGTTATTGTTTCTTCCAATATCTTACTGTGATCATGAAGCTATCTTGTACTACGCAGTAAGATCTGAGCCTACCTGCCAGCGTAAACTTGAAGCGGCAGCATCATCGAATGTCGAATCTGGAGTCTCCTCCGATGTACTTGCTGCGCATTTAGCTGGCCGTGCTAGCCGTACACTATACACCACACATACATGCCAAGTTTCGCCAACCTCGTTTACCCTATAATCGATATTCGTAATCGCTAGATCTCAATGTCAGATCAGACGAATGACACAATACATCTTTCAAAAGAATTAAAAATTTCTTGGCGCCTCTTGCGCCCTTATTCAGTTTTCTGCTCCCCTCCCTCCATCGAGGCTCAAAATGTTAAGTCTCAGACTGCACTTCTGAAGACCCGATGACCCATCCATCGGGATCTAGGCACGTCGACTCGCTGTAAGATTACGTTATGAGGATAGCCGTTTCGCATTCTCATTCTCGTCTCGCGTGCCGTTCTTATCAATATTTGGGGACCCCAATATCTCAGACGAGAATAGTAGACGGAATAATATTTATTATTTCGCGAGCCGCAGTCTGCGGGATTACTACTTCGGGTTGGATAAAATGTTGAAATCCACAATATTGTACGGAATATATCTTGGAGAATGAGAATTTAGTAGGAATAAGTGGCTTAAGACGTCTGAGATGTGTCCGATCCCGTATCATTGCATTTGGCGGAGGGAATGTGATTAACATATGATGCCGAGTATGACGCTTTATCTTTTCTGGAGAGGGGTTATTGGTGGGTTAGTGCCAACAGCATTGAAGTTATGGAATTTTATAGATGTGATTTGAATGGTTGAGAGCAACTTGAAATTCATTATGCGCGCTTACGGTATCCACCCTCCAAATGGACGAAACAAGCCGTACACCCAATTACCCAAATGGATCCATACGTTGAGAACACTTATCTTGCAGTTTGTTTTTCCATACTATCTCTCTCTTTATATTGAGGTCTAAATGATTAAAACAGTATATTGCATAAAAGCTTATCAATATATATGTTCAATCTTTGTATCAGAACCATAATTATCTGAGTTGGTATCGAATATTGAAAAGAGTCACTTGTCCAGTTTTCCGTCCTGCTGAAGCCACCTTGGGCAGCAACTTCGGACCAATTTTTACATATATACAAGAAAGTTATTTGCTACACATTCGTTACTACTAGCCTCAAATGCCGTAGTATGAGATTTCTGGCGTGCGTGGTGAATGATACAAAAGCGCTCCGGAAGATTGTAAGATAGGGTTGCAATCACAATTTTGGGGAGGATATGCAGGGTTTCATCGGCGAGACGCAACTGATATCGTTATGACTGCAGTGATAAGGTTTCGGCACGTACATATTGATTTACGGTGCATGATTTGCGGCTTCACAGCTTTGCAGGGCATCATGTGTACAGTCGTTTTGCTCGATGATGTATGTATAAAGTTTTGTGTGTGTGTATGTGTGTTAGGGGTCTCGATAGCGGAGGAAAGGAAAGCACATCTGGAGGTTTGGATGTGGTTACGTTGATAGGCTTTGGTTAAGCATTGCCAAGATGTCAGATGGATATGAGTATTATTTTGGAGGGAGTTCCTTGTTTGTTATACGACGAATACGCTGGATTGAATGCTTGGAATGGGCGGAGTTCTTCGGTTCTTTGACTTAAAGTATTAACGTTCATATCTACTTAGTCAGTACAACCTCTCAATCTCAAGACGACTTCACGCCATTCAACTGTTGGTTGCAACCTTCATTGATGTTTTATATTTTACTAAATATATCTTTCCCGCCCATTCACTCTTTCGCTCATGATGGAAGCCCCAGGAAATCGATATTGGCATTGGCCAATATAGCAACGGGAAGGTTCAAGGAACCAAATCAATCAATCACGAGACAAAACATATACCGAGGAACTGGATGCACTACAGATACCTAGCTAGTACAGCGTAGTTCGAAATTTCACGGGAAGGAATCCGAGAGAATCCTTCGCGACGTGTCTGTACAGTACCAAGATTTTGAGCGGATTTTTGACTTTGCATGGTAATTTATGTCTAACAGTTGGAACAGTCAGAACTAAGAGTTTAAATGTTGAGTTTGTGGAATCCGGAAAGATAGAGGGCTTGGAACTTGGAACTAACACGAGATAGAACATCTGGCAATGGAAGGAAGTTATGGAACCAGTGACGGCGATGACCGAGGAGGGGCTCGAGCACCTTATTTTGTTTGTTTGTTTATTTGTTTTCTATCTCACGTTCCAAAATTCATTCCATGGTACGCGTTTGAACTTTGAAAACATTGTTGTCTGAGATTACAATATACCGACGATCGATCATGATGCACTCACTTCGTGTATAGTGAGTACTGTACATTGTACAGCCACGATAGTGCACAGTATAATCTCAAGAAAGGAGATGATACGGTTGTCACGGCTAATTCGAGGAGCGGTGCTGGGATAAAGTGACACAAAGACAAAGATCAGAATATTTTTAGGACGGTTTGGAGTGAGAGAAGAAGGTTCGGCTGGATCGAGTAAAGCGAGCGAAATGAAGGGGTAGATATTCGTGGACTTGTAAATTGGCGGTGATGACCTTGGTCAGATATCTTAAGGTATGGAATAAGATTTTCGATGAGGGGATGGACCTGGTAATCCGAGGAATCGCTCTTTGAGTTATACTGAGTATGGACGTTCTGCACAATCTATGAAGTTTAGCTACGCTCGTTGTATGCTGCTCTTTTCTTCTTTCGCTTCGGAAATCTTTTTACCAATGTCATTCGGAAATTTAAAACGCCCATATTTCTTTTTGACGTTTGGACGCCCCAATTTCAGCAAGGAATCCCGCTTGACACTGAGGCCATAGTCACTTGATTTCGTGAAGTTGCCGCGTTTTATATTCATATATCAGAGTCTCTATCGCTAGCCGTGGGGGAGCAAGCGGGCGGAAGGATCTGACCGCTCCTCTCCTCGCCGCTGGAGGCTGGATCATTCCACACAACGCCCCTCTCTTGTACATCAACGATTCCACACCGACAGCAAGGGCAATCCTATTTGTACATGACCTTACGTGAAACATTCTATTTACAGCGTACGAGTCTATTTTCGACAGATCGGATGATAATTGCCTGCTTGCGCGATTCTGGATACTTTCCATAATTTCCACGAACTCAATCGAATGCAAGGGGATATTTATTCTCAGCTTCGACAGAGGGGAAATTTTTATATTCGCCCAACCGGCCTATCCTTGCTGCAGCACGCCTCTCGATTGCTTTGGGATCACAACCCACGAGGCTGACATTGCGTTGACGGCGTGTGTTTGCTGTGTCACATAAATAAAGGTGCATTACAAGTTGGGTGCGGCGCGGCGGGTACAGTTAGGTCAGTACAGAGTTAGGCCACCTTCATGAGCATAGCCTGAATAAATGGCGTGTTTGCATATACGTACATATGTACAAATTGCAATCATATCACAAGTATTCAATGTTACAGAATAACTGTTGTATAACGGGTTTATGTCCGTTATCCGTGAGAGAAATATGCTGTGCACAATATGTACTCTATATATGTACAATATGTCTTGTCTAACATTGGAAAAAGAGAGAGGAGACGAAAGACATACATACGAAGTACAAGGAGAAACAACTATTTCGGATTTGAGCATGAACAAATAAAAAATGGAATATCCAAAGAATTCGCCAAGGATTTTCCCTTTCTCGAGCAACAATATAAATGCCTGTATGTATGGTGGTTCTCTGCAAATCCGGTGAGCAGCCATTTGTTTGCTATATTGCTATGATCAAGACCTGGTCTATGTCCCTTAGAATCCTCTTCTTGTGGTCTTTCGTGCACTGGATCAAGTAAGGATCTTCCATGGATATCGCAAACAAGGTCGATTCATTGGTGAGAGCTTGTGCCTGCATACCAGGAATATTAAGACCCTTGAATCAAACCCCTTGAGCTTCCAGAATGGACGTGGAGATCTCTAGGCAAATCAAGAATCAATATTGATAATTTTGATTCATGACGATTAAAAAATACATAATGGGTTAACAACCGTACCTTACCTCAATGGAGGAAAAATGGACAAAGAGAGACAGCGAAAGAGAGGGACCCAGGGCCGGCGGTTACTGTGATCAGCGAAAGCAACGGGTCTCAATATCATTGATCAGAATCATCAGATGAACCTCTTGGGTCTTTCCAATCCTTCTGCTTTCTCTCCACATGTTCTCTGAACCGCTTTCTCCAGTCTTTCGAATTGCTCTTAATTGTGCAATATAATTTGTTCGATTCGACTGTTCGTCTGTTCGTCATCTCATATGCCAAGTAAGTCATAACGAAATCGAGTTACCTTACTTTTCTATGCCCATATCGATCCATAAGATCCATAGAACCATACCCATACCGTACCAAACTTTTGAGCTACCTGGTCGATTCAGGTCCGGGGTTGCACACACCATAGGCGGGAAGAACCCAATAGCCTTTATATCTGGAGTCCCGTCGTAAGGAGATTCGTTCGGATCGTGTTGCATGATGCATTAGTTGGAGACAACAAATCTGAAAGAGCCACTCCAGTCTTACCATCTTCTGAATCCTTCTGGACTTGATATTCAGTCATGGTGTCCAATATGAAGGAACGAAACTTGAAAATCACTCCCATCTACTCTCTCCCAGCTCCATCACACAATTCGACTTCGAATATCTTCTCACCGACTGCTCTTTCGAAACCGTCTTTCGATATTCGTCCCGAATCTTCACCGGCTCTTCCATCGTCAAGTCTATATCGCAGGAATCACAAGGAAATGGCATTGTGCGGGGAATACTTTACAACTCATGAAGAGTTTCATGCTCTTCCACCCGCTCTAAAACGAAAGGTATATATATCACTTTCGCTGTTATACGTTACCACGGTCATCACAATTTAAAAAACAAGGTTGGGGGTTTCATTTCGTATTTCAGGGTTGAGCTATTGAAAAAAGTAAAGAGATGTAGTTTAGCCCGTGCCAACGAGACGCCGTCGAAAGTTAGGTCTCTCATTAGTACATTTAGTGGTGTCTTCCCGCGTGAATCTACGCTAGATCCTTCCAATTCATACTGGCGGCGGGATCAGCAAACGCTATGAACACATTTATATGCAGGTACAAGAGACGGTGGTTTTGCAATTCTTCTCATGCGGTTGTCGACGGTATTATTATTAAAAGATGGGTGCTAACCGGGCCCTTTCGCAGTATTTCTCAACTCTGGAGCGTCTTCGATTCGCACAAAGCTCGAGGTCAAATGCCCTCAATGATCTTCCCACACAGAATACCCGTAGAACTTCTATTGCCGACCGACGTGGCTTGAAGATTTCAGAGCTCGAGCCCCGACGCAGACCTTCGAGACGATTAAAAAAGAAGAGGGAACATTCAATATCCAATAGTAATGATAGATCTTGGTTTTTATGCAATTACGAAACATTTCCGGAGACAATCAAAAGAAAACAATTCTCGAGCGAAGAACAAGCATTATTAGCAAGCAGGATACGTGAAGCAGTTATATTGGATGCGGCGGACGAAAATCTCATAATACGAAGACGATCTCGTCGCATGGCGTCAGATCCACCGGTATTATCTCCAAGCGTTAGAGGTTCTGTTTTCAGTGGAAAAACTAGCGGGACTCGAAGGAGAGCCTCGATGTCTAGTATGGCCGATACGTTTCTTGACAGTTTCCAATGGATCGACGATGAGTCTAAGTTAGATCTTCATTTGGATGATTATCATGCTTCAATATTTCCTTCTCTAAAAAGCGACCGGAAGCCATCATTTCGACGACAAATGTCGATTTCAAAGCTTCCTTTCGGGCGAAGCTCGATATCTTCAATCACACCCAAATCTCCAAATCCCACATCACCTGCCTTCAGCACACATTCCCGTTCGGCTACATCAATAACAGGACCAAGGCATGCCGCAAAACACAAAGTTAATTCATCGCTCTCGTCGATAGACCCTAATGCCACCTATTACCAAGACCCGGAAGCACGACTAAAGCTAAGAGTATACTTAGCGTCACCGCAAAAATTCGATGAGATAATCGAGTTTGGATTTCCATCCATGGATGCAGCGATGGGTGCATCAGAGAAGGAAAATAAACCCTCAAGATTAATATCGAAACGTTCGTCGAGAGATATGTTGAGGCGGAAGGCATCGAGTCCAGCATTTGAACATTCATTCTTTAATGACGATACTGCTTCACTATTCGAAGACGACAAATCGATGGCTGATTCTGAAGCACCCATAACACCCCTGGAATATGAAAGCGGATATCCACTACAGCGATCTCCATTTTATTATACTGGCAAGCCTCTTGCGGATTTTCAATCTGGGCCCAATAAACTACCTAGCAAACAACAAGACCCTTATACACAAGTTATGGCAGGAAATCGAGAACCTACGTTAAGAATGACGCTTACACGGCAGGATCTGAGAGATGAGAGCGCAATATATGGATGGCAATCGAAGGAGCCGCTTGTAATGGAGGATCTAGAGAATCATAGGTATCCACGGGGACCTATGGGTGGAGCGGATGGTTGGGGACCACCGGTCGAGAAGGAAAATGGGGTGGTAAAAAGGTTTTGGAAGAGGGTGAAGAGTCAGCGAAAGACTTCGTGATATGGTATCTAGAACAAAAGAAAAAGGAATCTTTGCAGATGGATTTATTTAGCGGGCGAGCTTGTATCTTTAAAGAAGCGTTTGCTTTGTATTTACCTCTCTTTTGTTGGAGGCTCGCGTGCATGGCAGGCTGGTTTTGCATAGCGATTGAATGGATACCAGGGATTTTAAATCAATAATTGAGAACAAAAGTCTTGAATTGAAAGATTGTATCGTTTGGAATGATGCGAATGTTTGTGTATGTGCCATGCAATTCGCCTTCTTCACCTCACCCATCAGTTGGATTGTCGATCAAGTTTGAAGTCGACATAATGTTCGAAATGGGTACAGCAAAGATCCATTCGCTGATGAAAATTGAATTGTGCTTTGACTTGTGGGAGGAAGTAAACAATTTATAATACCATCGATCACACCGTCATAGCGGCAAAGAGGCAAAGAGGCAAAGAGGCAAAGAAGGAATCATTAGTATTAGCCGCTGCTGTGATGTGACTGATGGTTGGTCAATTTTGTGCTTGACAAAGAACATTCCTTCCTATATCGTAGACGTTCACGGCAACCGTCATCATTCCATTCCTATTCCGCAGTGATGGTCGACGCCAGATAATGAAGTGAATATAAGAGAGTTGCCTGATATTGATACCGTGAATAATAAGTGTTGAGAGGATTTCCAAGGTTATCAACATACAAATTTGAGTTGAAGAATCAATGAATGTTCTCCGTCCTGTCTCTGTCCTCTGTTCTCCCTCTGCTCCTCCTGCTCCTTCTCCATCTCCATCTCCACAGAAATTAATTCATCATACCAGAAATAGATTTTAACCCCCAACCAATAACCAATCGAGTCAATCCAACATTCAAGCGCGGAAAGTGCTGGGTTTGGCGTGGGATCTGAGTGCTCTTGCTTGCTCGAGGTTATCATTGATAGGTCCGAGTTGTGAGGCACAAGTGTGGCGCAAAAGTGCCCTGAAACGAGTAGCTGTACCTACCTAGGCTCACTATCATCATCATTGTTTCCAAAAGACACGCAATCCATTTACAATCTTTGCTTCTTCAAACCCTTTCCATTATCGATTCTACCAAAAGTAACAACATCTAAACTATCACTACCATCGTCGAGTCGCCACTTGGTGATCCTTATCGAAGCTTCATGCGCTCCGGTATCACAACCAACCCGCGAAGATGAGGCTACGGAGCTCGGAGACAGGATGGCGGTGCCTCCTAATATCAACACTTCTCTATACTAGCGCGTGGGCAAAGAAAGATGCTCCTGGAGTTAGTTATGCCAAGTTAAAAAATGTCCCACACAATCTGCAGTACTTCGACGATTCCGACGTGTTACTGTATGAGGATAGAGACGATGCGGTTGTTTACAGATCAGTGGATGCAGGAGAGACGTGGAAGAAAATCACCGCCGTTCCTGAAGGCAAAATGTTGGAGATTTCGATGCATCCATTCGATTCGAAAAGGGCATATATCATAACGTCGGGGAAGAGTCATTGGGCAACCAATGACAGAGGAGAGCACTGGGAGGAATTCTATACGGACAATCAAGCTAGTGTATTCAGACCGGCGCTGAGTTATCATGCAAAAGATCCGAATAGGATTATCTTCAATGCAATGGATTGTACGGGCATTTTCTGCGAAGAGTTGGTAAGAGGAGTGGTAATTCCTGCTGGGCGATTTAAATGCTAACTATTTTTACAACAGTCTATGTACACTACTAACGGATTTGACGAAACTACCAAGTTCCTACGTTCCGATACTGTGGGCTGCCGCTGGGCAGTCTCGTCACCGGAGTTTACAACTGGCCAGAAGGACCTTGACAAAGACAGGATTCTCTGTGTGGCTAAAGGCAGATATTCTGTATGGAGGTCAGACTACCGACTCGTTGTCTCTGATGATTTCTTTGCTTCAGACGGCGAAGATATACAAGAATTTGAGCCCGAACTGGAACCAGGTCGAACGGTCAAGGGAATTGTTGAAATCGCACCCCAGAAGAAGTTCTTGATCACAGCCGCGGGTGCTGACCGCACTGACGAGATGGCATTATATGTGTCTGATGATGCCATTAAATGGCACCGAGCCGAATTTCCACACGACCATAAATTGACCCAGGAGGCATATACCATCTTGGAAGGAACTAATTACAGTATCCAAATCGATGTTTTGAACACGCGCCCACTCAATGCTATGGGGGTCATGTTCACCAGTAATTCGAACGGAACGTATTTCACTCGGAACATCGAGCACACAAATCGAGATATGGGTGGCTTGGTTGATTTCGAGAAGATGGCTGGAGTGCAGGGAATTGTAATGGTTAACGTGGTTGATAACTTTGAAAAGGTCGAGAAAAGTTTCATGGAAGTGAAGAAGAAGAAGTCCAAAATCAGTTTTGATGATGGACGAACTTGGCAACCTCTCAAGGTCAAAGACAAAGATCTTCACCTCCATTCCGTCACAGAGTTGGACAATTCTGGTCGGGTCTTCTCTAGTCCGGCTCCAGGTTTGGTAATGGGAAATGGTAATACAGGAGACTACTTGGGGGAATGGGATAAATCTAACCTTTATGTATCTGATGATGCGGGAGTTACTTGGCATCATGCCCTCGACGGACCACACAAGTACGAATTTGGAGATCAGGGATCTGTTCTTGTGGCTGTACATGATGGTAATACAAAGGTGGTTAAGTACTCACTAAACCACGGCAAAGATTGGAAGGAACTCGAACTCAAGGGTAAAATCCGCCCGCTACAATTGGTCACAACCTCCGATTCAACAAGTCTTAAATTCCTCATGATTGGGGTGGATGAGTCGGACAAGAAGCAGACTTTCTATATGATTGCACTTAACTTTGACGAAATGCATGAAAGACAATGCAAAAAGGATGATGATTTGGAAAAGTGGTACGCAAGGCTGGATGATGACGGTAAACCAGCTTGTCTTATGGGCCACACCCAATATTATATGCGCCGCAAAGCCGACGCAGATTGCTTCATGAAACAAGAATTCAAAGACCCGGTTGTTCAAACAGACGATTGCGCTTGTACAGACGCCGATTTCGAGTGCGATTATAACTTTATCAGAAGTGATGATCTTAAGGAATGCATACAAAAAGGTGCTTTGATCGTTCCGGAAGGTCAATGCAAAGCATTTGGTCCCGATGACACATTTAAAGGATCTTCCGGGTGGCGTCTAATTCCAGGAAATACTTGTAAGCGAGACAGTGGCAAGCAGAAGGACGATTTAGTCGAACACAAATGCTCGACTTCCGCAGCGCCTCCTGCTTCGGGTAAAGGAAACTCGACTGATTTCAAATTCAAGGGCCAAGCATTTCTGGATAAACAATACCTTGAGAGAACTGGCGTTAGCACCCAAGTGGACGAAACAATCGTATTACAAACCGACCAGGAAACAGTCTGGCTCACTCACGATCATGGAAAAACGTGGAAGCAAATCTTGAAAGATGAGAAAATCGTTCGAATTTACGCCAATCAGTACTTTAATGATGTTGTATTCTTCTTGACAAAGACCGAAACTGTATTTTACTCTGTCGATCGTGGAGAGAATATCAGAAGCTTCAAAGCTCCCCATCCACCAAGTCGTGAAGCTCTCGCAATGAACTTCCACCCTAGAAACAAGGACTGGTTTATATGGATGGGTGAGAAGTGCGATGGTCCTGGTAACTGTCACACCGTAGCTTCACTCACCCAAGACCGAGGAGATAGCACCTGGAAAACGCTCCAGCGATATGTCCGAAAGTGCGAGTTCATCAAAGAAGCCGCAAACCAACAACGTGATGATAAATTGATTTATTGCGAAGTCAAAGAACGTGAAAACAACGACGCTAACAATCCGTGGCAGCTTGTCTCGAGTACGGACTTCTTTAGTGAGCCGGCTAAAGTGCATTTCACCAACGTATTTGATTTCGCTACAATGTCCGAGTTCATTGTTGTTGCAACAAAAGATAATGAGCACCAAACTTTGAAAGTCGATGCAAGTTTTGATGCGGTCAACTTTGCCGATGCCAAGTTCCCTCATGGTTTCAAGATGGATCATCAAGTTGGTTACACTGTGCTTGATAGCTCTACTCATTCTGTTTTTCTTCATGTTACAACGAACAATGAGAAGGGCAAGGAATTTGGAACCATCATTAAGAGTAATTCTAACGGTACTTCATACGTTCTAAGTTTGAATGCTGTGGATAGAGACAGCGCTGGTTATGTGGACTTCGAGAAGATGTTCGGAATCGAAGGAGTTGCCATGGTCAACGTTGTTGCAAATGCAGAATCGAAGAACTACAAGAAGGAGAATAAGAAGCTCAAGACCATGATCACCCACAATGATGGTGCAGAATGGGCTCCAATAAAAGCTCCTGCACAAGGTCCAGATGGAAAGAAGTGGGGATGCAGTGGTTCAGAGGAAAAGTGCTCATTGAATCTTCATAGTTATACCGAGAGAGTTGATAAAAGCCATACATTCTCTTCTCAATCGGCAATTGGTTTGATGATGGGCGTTGGAAATGTTGGTGAATTCCTCACAGATTACAAAGATGCCGACACCTTCATTTCCACGGATGCTGGCATAAACTGGAAGTGGGTCAAAAAGGGACCTTACATGTGGAGGTTTGGAGATCAAGGCTCAATCATCGTCATCGTGAAAGAACGCGCATCGGTTAATGAAGTTCACTATTCTCTAGATGAGGGAGATACTTGGATTCCTTACAAATTCTCCGATGCGGAAATGAAGGTTGAGGATCTCACTACGGTTCCAAGTGACAACGCTCGAAATTTTCTCCTTTGGGGTACGGTCGATGGTGCCCTCACAGCTATCAATCTTGATTTCTCGGGTTTGAGAGATAGACAGTGTGATCTTGATGAGAAGGACGTTGAAGGTGGAGATTATTATCTTTGGCAACCAAAACATCCTCTGCAAAATGATGACTGTCTCTTTGGACATGTCTCGCAATACCATCGAAAGAGAACTGATGCCGAATGTTATAATGGAAGGTTAATTCCTTCGCTTCATAATATCGCCAGGAATTGCAGTTGTACTAGGCGAGATTTTGAGTGGTAAGTTCTATTTTTTGATATTAAATTTACAAAAACTAACACAGAATCAGTGATCTTAACTACGAGCGCCAAGGCGATGGATCATGTGTCCTCGTTAAAGGTTACTCACCACCAGACCATTCCGAAATCTGTCGCATCGATGAAAGCGTCGTGGAATACTTTAAACCTACAGGATACCGTCGTCTTCCCCTCACAACATGCCAAGGTGGTAGAGAAATGGATATT